CCCCCCCCCCCGTCTACCGACCCCCAGCCCTTCAAAAAGTTTAATCAAACCCTGAATTATGTTCCTAATATAGAGTCCATTCTAATTTGAAAATTATGTTTCGAAAACGACGGTACAATTAACTTGGTAAAATGATTATTCATTGTATTTTTTCAGACAATCTTGGAAAAAATATGTGTAGACTTTTCGAAATATACACCCAAATTTGAAAACATATGATGAAAATGTGAGCATTTTTCAATTAAAGCAACTATTTACCTTAAATCCCCCCCCCCCTCCCCCCAGAAACAATGTTGGTTTTGGTAAAAGTGGATTTCCAACACATGTCACCTAAATACCAACATTGTATAAGGGGGGGGGGGACAAAGTTTGAAAATTTAAGAAGTCTACTAATTTTTTTCCAGGATTGTAGTTTAAATTTTCCAAATATTTAGAAGCGCTATAATACTTTGAGTTATTTGGTCTACATATCTTTCCAAATTTGCTCTCATTGTCTATTTTATTAACTTTCAAAAACTAAAAATCGCGTCGCGTTGACGAATCGCGTCCGGTGTGTCCGGACCTTAACGCCAGACGATTTTACTCGTCAAGGGGAGAGCGCTGGCACTAAATGGGTTAATTTCCACTCGTTTCAGAACGGCTGCATGTCGACGCACTTTGGATCAGATCATTGAGAAGATCGAACGAAACGAGAAGAACGAGGAACGCAAAGAGATGCGAAAACGTTTCCGTGAGGAGAACATGGTGTTAAAAATGGCGAGACTAAACAGCCAAAAACTCGACAGCCTTTTGCAGAAACGCAAGGAAACTCTCAAGAAACAGATTATGAGGAAACGTGCTTTGTTGGAAAAAGACATGACTCAGCAAATACAAGGAGAGTTGGCCATATTACGGAAAAGGAGTTGTGAGAGTAGTGATGGCGAAGAGACGGAATATTCCTATGTGCCCAAAAAGAGGGTCAAACAAGAGGGGCCTTTGTATTGTGTGTGTAAAACACCATATAATGATACCGAGTATGTATTTTGATTCCAAAGTATGTCTATTGCTTTATACTAGATAGCTCTATCAGCTCTAAATTGTCCCCTACTCCGCGCCGTCTTGTTTTAGTAGAGGAGGAAGCCTAAACTAACTTTATTTATACTGGGAACTCTATCAGTTCTAAATTAACCAAGTGTATAATTACGGGTAACAGTGAAACACTGTCTCTGGCATGGTCCAGGTGTCTATCTGATAAGGACATTGGCACCCCCTTGCACCGCTGTACCCTATTTGCGAAGGGGAGTGGGTGCACCCCCCCCCCCCCACCTTAAATCC